AGCCACTGCCGCTGACAGGAAGGAGTCAAATGTTCAACCGAAACCACGGGAGCACCCAGGATGCCGGGGCCAGAGCTAGCCTCCTGTGGGCCCCCACTGGCCACACCAGCCACTCCAGCTGGCAGGAAGGCGTCCCGACCCCCATCGTAGAGATGGAGACACTGAGGCTCAGGCAGAGGGAGGGGAGACGCCTGTGGGATGTGCGGGGAGTGAGGAGGGGGCTCCCTGCTTCCTGCCCTTCATCCAGACCCCACAGCCTAGAAAGGGGGCATCAGGGCCAAGGCTGAGGCAGTCCGGCTGGACCCAAGATCTCAGAGAACCTGGGGGAGTGCTTGGAGGAGGCAGATGCTGGCTGCTGAGGAAGGGGTGCCAGGCAGCCTGAATTCAGAGAGAAGGGGAGGGAGGGTCGTGGTCTCTGCTGGCCCCAAGTCAGAGCCATGAAGTAGGAGCGCCCTCAGCTGCAGCAGCTCCTCTTTCTAAGGGGGGAGGGACGGTGGATGCCCTGCCCTCGTGCCCCTGCCCCAGCACCTGGGGCTCCGCCTTGTGCCCAGTCCCCACCCCACGTGCCCCACTTCAGCCTTCCTGAGATGCCTCTAACATACCCCTGCACACTGCACCTGCTCCTCAGGGAACGCCCACTTATCCTTCAAAACTAAATACAGAGCCACCTCCTGCAGGAAGCCTTCCTGACATCCCCAGGCTGAGCCAGGCATTTCATCTGGTGCTGTTCAGCAGCCTTGTGGGTCTGTCATTGAGGGGCTTAGGGAGCCTCCAGGTCAAGAAGGGGCTCATGAGGCATGTGGCTCATCCTGACACAGAAGCAGGACTCACAGCCCCTGCAGCATTGTCACAGGGGCTCTGGTGTCAATGAGACTGGGTTCGAGTTCCAGCTCTACCATGATACTCAGCCAAGTCATTTTGCCCTGAGCCTCAGTTTCCACATCTGTAAAATGGATGATCATTCCCCCACTCATAGGACGCTGTGAGGAAGGAGCTTGGCTCTGCCGTGGGGCTTTCTCTCAGAGTTAGCAGAGCCTCCGAGCAGGCGGGTGGGCTGTTAGCCACCCACTCCATAAACTCCAGAAGAGGTGGGGCAGCCGCTTTCCCAGTGCCTGGGCCCTTCAAGCCTGAGTCAAGAGAGCGGTGCTGGGCTGAGGGTCCGGGTGTCCAGCTGCCCACTGCTCGTCCCCTGGCCCCTGTGCAATTTCCCTCTCTGAGCTTCCATTTCTGAATCTGCAGAATGAAGATAACCCCTGCTTTCCCTGGGCCTGGCAATCCATCAGTCTGTGCCTGGCCCCACGAGTCAAACATAGACCTGCTTCCTTGAGCCCCTGTACAGTAGGTCAAAAGACAATCGAAAGAGACAGGAGTGGTGAGGGCCGATCAGGGTGCCCTGGGTCTATGGGAGCTCGGAGATCCCTGGCCCGATGCGTGGAGCTGACCTCAGGACAGGCTTTCAGCAGGGGGTTGAGGGACAGGCCAGCCCAGGGCCCTCAAAGTCAAAGCCAGGAGGCTGAGAGGGCTGGGCCACTGCCTAAAGGCAGCGGCACCTCCCAGATGGGACCACCTGTTCCCTCCCTCGTCTCTTTCCTTAGCCTCTGTATCCTGATCAGCAATCTTCAGCTCTGGGCAGGCTTCCCAGAGCCTAACCCAGTTGGGAGCACCGTCACCTCTGGATCCCACTGTGTTGAAAGAACTGAGTGCCTGTTTGTCCACCCCAGTGGGACTCCTCATATGAGAGCAAATGGCCCCACTTGTCTCCCCTTCATGTATCTGTGCTCTTGCTTTTGACCTTGAAGTTCCTATCTCTGAATAATGTTTTTTCCCCACTCCTTGAAGCCACACACAGCCACGTGACTTGTTTTGGCCAATGAGCTAGTAGTAAGCAGGACACATCAGAGGCTTGAGAAGCACCTGTGGTTTTTGGCTTCGCGACACAGAGAGCTGGAAAGAGCAGCCCTCCCACCTGAACCACAGGAGAAAAGCTGCACAAAATGCAAACCAACAACTTTCCTTAAACCCTCTAAGAATGGAGTTCACCACCACCAAGTCACTAAAATCCGGAGATAGGCAGACACCCGCGGGGAGAAGCAGCAGGGAGAAACAGGGCCCAAGCATTTGCTTACCTGGGATAGACACCATAAAACATCATTTAAGCCAGGAATAGGATTCAGCTGGAAATTTTTAACAAATTGCCCAAAACCAAATGTGGGCCAGAATGTGAAGGCTCGGGGGGGGGGGGGCCGACACAGAGTGTTTGCTTCCCCTAGGAACCACATCAGGCGCTCACAGAGATCAGGGAGAGTCCAGAGAAGGCAGCCTCCCTCCCGTCTCCCCCGCTGTGCGGCTGGGGGCGGACACCAACAGCCACTGCTGCAACTGCCAGGGCCATCTCCCCATCCCAGGAAGGGAGCAGAGAGCACCACAGGCAGGGAAAAGGACAACAAAGCTGTAGCCCGAGGGCACCGGTCAGAGCCCAACGTGGGTGAGGGGGCAGAACTGAACAGGCTCTGCCCCTGGGGGCGGAGGGGGCAGGAATGCATGCGAAGCCCAGTATTACACCTGTTGCTGTGGGCGGATGGGGGGCGGGGACGGTGGCGCTTGTGAAGGCTCACAGCGCTGCTGCCACTGAGGCTGAGTCGGAACCTCAGAGAAACCCCCACCCCCATCCTCCACCACCGCACCGAAGCTCATCAAGCAAAATAAAAGAGGAAACAGCTCAGGGAGCCCCAGGAGCCCATGTCTTCAGGGCGCAGCACAAAGGAAGACCCCACAGATGCTGGGCGCAAACTTCAAGGCAGCCCAGCTCCTTCCAGGATTAACCCCAGCCCCACACTAACGTCCTAGCAGAAAGAAAGACAGATTCTTCTTGAAGCGTAAAAAAGACTTACTTCAGTATCTACTGTCCTGTTGTATCAGAAGTTAGCAAACCACAGCCAGCGGACATGTAGGGGCCTGTGGCTTATCTTTATACAGTCTGTGAGCTAAGGATGATTTTTACATGTTTAAAAGGTTGGAGGAGGAGAAAGAACAAGAAGAAGGGCAAGAAACGATAGATTGTGTGGAGCCTCCAAATCGTTTCCACCTGACGTTTTACAGGAAAGTTTGCTGACCCCTGCTCTACAAATGTCCAGCTTCCAACTTAAAATTATTGGCAATTCAAAAAAAAAAGACAGTCTGAAGAGACAAAGTAATCATCAGACTCAGATATCACACAGATTTTGGAACCATCGGAAAGGAAATTCAAATTAACCAATTTATATGTTAAAGCTCTAGTGGAAAAAGCAGACAAGACACATAATCAGATAGGAACTTCTAGCAGAGAGGTGGAAGCTGTAAGGAAGTATCAAATGGAAATGCTAGAAATGAAGACACAGCAGCAGAGAGAGTGATTGCCTTTGACCGACTCATCGGAAGGCTCTACGCAAACTAGGAAACAATGAGTGACCTTGAAGACAGATGCGTAACTTGTACCCCAAGTGAAATGCCAAGAGAATAAAGGGTAGGGGAAAGAAAACAAAATATCCAAGAGATGTGGGAGAATATAAAATGGCCTAACATGTACATAATTGGAAACTAAAAAGAAGAAAGAGAACTTGGGCAGAAGAAATACTTGCATAAATAATGACTGGGAATTTTCCAAAATTGGTGAAAGACACTAACCTACAGAGGAAAGAAACCAGCTGGACCAGGCAATGTATGTATGTTAGAGATTGACAGACAGATAGATGCATATATGTGTATCTTTAAAGTTAGGTTATATGTACTTTCAAAAGTTATAAATAAAAAGTCAATACAGGAGATAAAATGGAATCGTAAAGGTGAAATCAGCAAAATTGAATGAGTAAGAACCTCTAAAAATTCTCTCCTCTAAAAAAGCAACAAGAAAACTGGCAAAAATGGTTAGAATCAACTTTTTCAGAATTCTAGAAGTTAACCAAAGATTTGCAAGAACCCGAGTAGCACTTATTCAAGAAAAGCAGCTGAAACCCAGCCAAGAACAGCAAGCCTTGTGGCATTTTAACTTGCCCTGGTCACCTCCAGCTCCAAAATAGCCTTGAGCTAAAACTGCTCTCATTTCTGATGCGAAGTGGCAGTCACTGGGGGGCGCAGAGTAGAGCTGGCTCTCCCTCACTCTCGCCCCCACACACATCCTTCATCAACCCTACCTCCTGCATCTATCACCACCACCTCTGCCACGTCCCTGTTCCAAGCCGGCCCATGGGAGGTGCTCAGTGAATGTTTGTGGGGTGGATGGATTGATCTGTGGGTGAGTAGATGGATGGATGGATGGTGGTAAGATGGATAGATGGTGGTTGGATGAATGGATGGGTGGATGGTTGTTGGATGGGTGGATGGATGGATGGTGATTGGATGAGTGGATTGATGGTGGTTGGATGGATGGATGGATGGGCAGGTGAGTGGATGGTTGCACAAATGGGTGGATGGATCAATGGGTTGCTGGGTGGATAAAAATGGCAGGACTTTTATAGCATAGGGAGCTTTGGGACTAGAGTCATTATATCTGCCAGTGCTTTTCTTGGGCAACTCCTAGACCCATAGTTTGACAAGGGCTGAACTGAACTTGTCCCTTCCAAGAGCCCAGTCCTAAAAGCCATCTTGAGGGACTCTGTTTTGGGAGACCAGGTTCTCAAGCTATTTGAACATGACAGGGCACAGAAATGCATATGCCTGCCACCTCTGGAGTGCTCCCACCCCTGGGGAAGCTGGAGCCAGCAGAAGGATGCCAGTCGCTGGCACGTGGATGGTCTTCAGCCTCTGAACTGTCCAGGACTCAGGACTCGGCCAGGGGGACGCCACTCCACCCCCGCGCGCCCCACATGACACCCAGAGACACAGAGGAAGAGGCGCTGGGAGGACTTCTCTTTCTTTTTACAAAGACTTTATTGTCTGACATGCTTGACAGAGAAAAAAATTACAGCCACAATCAAGTTATGCTGAAATGACTGAGGAGCACACTGTGGTCGTTCACACCTCGAGGACTTTTAATGAATTTTCTTTTAAAGTAACAGCTGCCTTCATAACTTTTCTTTTGCACATAAAAATACACCATATTCTGAAGATACCTTAGGAAAAAAATTTATTTTAAGCTTATAGTTCTTGGTCCGCATAGAAATTCAATAGAGGCGACGGAAAGGGCCTGGAGTCTTCTCCACCCAACGCGTGCACACACGCCGTGCATCTGGGGGGCCCCGGCGGCCCTGTAAACATCCCCGGCTACCAGGAACCACTGGGGCCGAATGGGATTCCTGCAGCCCCCCACCCCACAGAGCGAAGCTGGCCTCGGCCAGTGTGGTGCTCTTATTGGGCTCCCTGGATGGTGCCCCGTGCCCCATGGGGAACCCCACTCGAGCAGGGAAGGAGTCTGGGTCTCCTGGGATGCTTGGCTCAGAGAATAAGATCCCCCAAGGCTCCAGGGGCCCTCTATGAATAACGAACCCGACAGGAGCTGAACATGACCCCTGAAAAAAAAAGAGCCTTGGACCATGCACTGCCTTGTACGGGTGGAGCTCTGCGTGGTAGGAAAGCTGGGGCTATGAAGCCAGAGACCAAGGCTCAAATCCTGCCTCTACCCCTTTGGAGATGTGCACCCTCAGGCAAGTTACCTCACCTCTCTGATCTCAATCTCATCTCTGAAATGGGGCCAGCAGTACCAACCTTGCAGGAGGACTGCCTGAAATGAGATTTTTCTGCAAAGGGCTCATTAAATACTGGTTCCCAGGCCTGGGACTAGGGGCGGGTGAGCAACACTCCCCTCAGGTGCAGAATTTAAGGGGACACCAAAAAACTCAGTGGTCAAGACACATGACATTGTTTTAATGCAATGGTTTTAAAAATGAAAATTGGATACAGGAAAAAAACCTATGATAAAGAAAATACCCCAATTTTAAATACAGGCAGAGCCTAACGCTGCAGCGTACCAGTCGGGCCTCGCGCATCTCACCCTAAGCAGGCCCCACTGCTTCCTCTCCCGCAGACGTGTGGCCCACCCCCCAGTCCTAATTAAAAGGAAAAGAAGTCCCCCGGGGTGGCACTGCCATAGCTCAGGCCCCGCTCTGCTTCCGAGCCACCTTCCTAGCTGAGGGCGGGTCCCACCGGGCAACACAACTGGGCCGTTCAGCATTCCTCAGCTGTGGGCACGCAGACAGGCTCCGGGGGGCGAGGGGAGCCCCACGGGGGGGACAGCCCGTTCCAGGGCAGGGATGAGAAGCGCGAGGTCCACTTTGTTACATGAAGAGGGCTCTGTGTGTGTGCGCGCGCGTGCAGGCACGTGAGGGGGTGCCCACACCCGCACGTGAGCATACATGTGGCGGGGCCGCACGGGCCTGTGGACCCTCCAGGCAGCCGAGCTCTGCAGACCAGCGCGGCCCCCATCGGAACCAGGGCCGTCTGTGACTTGGGAACCTGCCAGCTGGTCCTGGGCCCTCAACAGGCTCATTCTGCAGAACCAACCGCCCATGGCCAGGCTCCGAGAGGGTGCCTGGGATGCTCAGGTCACTGTCCACATCAGCAAAAGTGCCCACAGGAAGAAGACAGGCAAACGACACGAGGCAACCGGCTGTCTGGCCTGGCCAGGCACAGCCCGAATTCCTGAGACGTCCCTGATCGCTCCCTCGGAGGCCCTCCGCGTGTGGCAGGCATGTCCCCTCTCCGCTTGGGAGGACAGGAAGGGCTGCCTGCACCCAGGCTACAACACCTTCCAACCACCCCCCAACTCTGAGACTTGCAGCCACACAGACCCTCAGTGAGACGGAGATTTTGTGCGAGAACTTCCAAAATCTGTCCAAGAGCCGTGGCTTCCCAAACCCACAAGGGTGTCCAACGGAGAAGGATGAAGATTCAGTCATTTCCCAAGCGGGACGGGGCCACGAGCTTAGCAGGTCCTTTAACAAGGTACACATGGAATGTACACGCAGAAATTAGCAATGAGTGCAGAACCCCTGCTGGGGACCCGCAGGGTCCTGACTCCAGGTGACAGAAGGCTGACGAGTCAGAGGTGATCTTCTTCATTCCAAGGCCTCAACCCATCTGCTGGGCTGGTCCCCAACCGGACGGGCTGTCTGCGTGGAAGGAAGGGTGGTTGGGGGTCCGTGCTCTCGGCCAGGCATGTGGAGCTGATGCGGGTGGGAAGGGTGGGGGGCCGCAGGGGCAGTCAGGAGTTCCGGGGTGTGGGGAGGTCGATGACTATGGGCGGATTCACAGGTTGGTAGTTCACGGTGCACACAGATGCGTTCACATAGGTGGTCGTCCCATCCGCCATGACGCCGTACCCTGGGAAGTAAGCACACACCTGTCAGGGCTGAGCGGTGAGGCCAGGACCCGGACTGGTGAGGGTGGTCTGGTGCATGTGGTAGTCAGAGGGCACGCAGCCAACAAGGGGCTGAATATGGCCTGGATGAGCTACTGAAACTACAGTTTAGTCTCTTCATCTATAGAGATGATGATAAGCTTGCTGTGAGGAGCAAATGAGATAATGACCTATGTCCAGTGTTCAGCCCGGTGCCTGGAAAGCATACGATAAGACATCATCATCGAAGTCATCAACATCACCATCATTATCACGATCATCAGCATCACCACCATCACCAACATCATTATCATCATTTTCACCTTCATCACCATCATCATGACCATCACCATCATCCTCTCATCACTATTACCATCACCCACATCACCATCACCATCGTCACTATCATCAGCATCACAACCATCACCAACATCATCATCATCAATATCACCTTCATCATCACCATCACCATCATTACAACCATCATCATCATCATCACCATCACCGTCACCTACTTCTCTTGGCTTCTGTCCCCATCATGCCCTCTTCCCACCACATCTACTTGAAGGATCCTCCTCATCCTTCAGCTCAGATCACCTCCAGACTAAAGGGGCACTACCTCCACTCTGTGCAGGTTACTCATTCCTTGGAACCCCCATTTTGCCTGTACAATCATGCAGGGCTGTGGTTTGGATCACATACAGCCTTGGATCTGATGGCACCACATGCCCATAGCAGGTCCAGAAAGCGACAGTCATTATCATTAACCCCAGCACACGCGTTGTCCATCTCTCCCATGACCTTTCAGATTCTGCCTCTGATTGCTCACTTGCTGCTCAGAAGTCTCTGAGCTCCTCGGGGCCTGGAAAGGTCTGATCGCTCCTGCCCCTGACAGCACCCTGCAGAGGGAAGGGTCTGAGCCTTGTTTGCTTCTGGCAGAAAGCGATCTGATGTGGACAGGCCCAGGTGAGGCCCAGAGGCCCTGGCCCCAAGCAGACAGAGATTCAGGAGAGCAGGAGACAACGCTGGGGGAAAACACTTTGGTCCCCATGTCCTACAGGAGCCCATGGGCTTCCTGGCAGGGTACAGTGGAACCAGGAGGCCCTGGACAGGTGGGACAGAGGTTCGAAAGGAGCAAAAGGAGGGTTCTGACAAAAGGGTGAAATCAGGCTCTGGTGAGGAAGTCTTAGGTCGGACAAGGAAAGCCCCAGGGGCAGTGACAGGCCGGGGGCATCGGGGTGGACAGTCAGCCTGGAGCCGATATCACCAGGCACCTTCACGGCCACCTTGCCCAGTGTCCTGAGATAGAATGGACACTCCCCACCACTCCAGCAAGGTGGACACAGCATGCAGGTCCGCCCCTAGGACAGAAGCCAGAATGCCATGTCTGTCTGGGGCGGGGAAGGGAGGAGAAGGTGCCACTGGAGCCTCTCAGGCAGGCAGGCAGCACTCCACATTCATTAAGCACCTACTGTGTACCAGGCCCTAGGAATGTAACCAACGAGACAGGGCCACCTGCCAAAAGGAGCTCATGGCATGTCCCCAAAATCGAATGCTTCCTGCATGTCACATCCAAACGCCTCCTCCTCCAAAAAGCCCCCAGCCATCTCCAAAGACATCCCAGGCGGAGTAGCAGGGCTCTGAGGAAGCAGAACTTACTTCTAAGTCTTGCCAGATTTTGCTTTCATCTTCCTGCCAAACCCTGCAGCCACAGCTAACTGATAGTCAGTGTGTGGATAAGGCTTCTACCCGCGTGTGTAGGAAATGGCTAGTTCCCTCTAGGTGAGAGACCGGGGAGGTGACTGGGTTCAAGGGAGGCGAGATGGCTCCCCCAAGGGCTGGCAGGGCACAGCCGGCGCGGGAGCCCCCTCCTCCACCCCACCTGCTGACCTTCGTGGATGTGGCCGAAGACGTGCAGCCGTGGCTGGACGCGCCTCTGCACCGTGTTGAGCAGCTCCACGCAGCCCACCCGCTGCATCTTCTTGGGGACCCAGTCCAGGAAGCCTGCACAGGGGGAGACAACAGGAGGGCAGTGACGGGGCCCGGGCAGGCCCAGGCTGCAGCCCTGCAGTCTCAGGGACATGGTGGCCTGGGCACGGAGCAAGCTCCCCGACCTGGCCTTGACTCAGTCCCCGGGGAGGGCGGCCTGGCTCTAGGTGCACTGCCTGGGGCCTCGCACCCCACCTCGTCCCCTGCAGGGCCGCACAGAGAGCCAGGCTTACAAGAGCGCGAGGGGGCAGGGCCCATGGGGCGGGGGCCAGTAGCTGTGAGCTCCCCCAGACCATTCACACTCCAAGCGACCCCACTGCATAGCACAGGGAACTATATCCAATAGTTGTAATAACCTAAAATGAAAAAGAGTATACGTCTACATATAACTGAATCACTTTGCTGTATACCGGAAACTAACACAACTGTTGTAAATCGACTATACTTCAATTTAATAAAACAGAAACAAAACCAAAGTGGCCTTGAGGCTGGCATCCACCCACTGCAGAGAGAAGCAAACCGAGGCCCAAGAGGGATGTGTGCGGCCCAAGGGCGCCCCAGCGGCCAGGATCAGAGCAGAGCCTGGGGGCAGGATTGCCACATCGGAAACTTTCTAAATTAAAATCACAAAATCATGAAAATGAACTTCTTCACCCGCCGCAGCATTGCTCATGTGGCCCGCGTCCGGGTCTGCGCGCACCACCAGCCTCCCGGAGCCGCCCCATACGGTGGCTGCTTGCTATTTCCACATGGCTACACAAACGAAGGGTAACTGATTACTCCGAACGAACCACTAGTGCTCATCTCAGCCCCTCTCTGTGTGGGCAGGAGAAACTGCTGGGAAGAGGAAGACGGATGCTTCCACCCAGAATCAGACAGGCGGCAATGGGCCTGACTTAGTCATGAGAGAGAGAAAGAGGGAGGGAAGAAGGGAAGGAGGGGAAGGAGGAGAGCGGAGGTGGAGGAAGAGGAAGAGGAAGAGAGAGGTGGGAAGCAGGCAGGGGTAGGCTTGAAGCGGATATCTGGGTTTAAGCCCTAGGCTCTGCTACTTAATGGCTGTGCGACCTTGGACAAGTCACTTAACCTCTCTGTGCCACGTTCTACAATTCATCCAACAACTGGGCTGGGCTGGGCTGGGCTGACAGGCACCCCTGAAACAGAAGCTATGTGTTGTACATGAAGCAGGTGTGGTGAGGCATCCAGGGAGCAGGACCCAAAAGATGCTGTTGGAGGAATGGATGGAGGGGTGGCAAGGGGGGAGGGAAGGGGGAAAGGGGAGAGGGAGGGAGGGAGGCGGGGAAGGGAGGAAGGAAGCAGAAAAACCTGCCCAGGGTCTCACAATAAGCCGCATGTCATGCCCAAGCCACGTCAGGGCCCTGGGCCTCGGGGCTGCACCCCTTTGGAAATGGGGGCAAGGCAGTCTTCCTGTGAGCACTTCGTGAGGGCTGGGGGAGGCCCCCAAGGGGCTGGCGGGGCGTCTGGCACACGTGGGTGCTCAGGACGGCTTCTGCCTGAACACATATCTCAGCAGATGACGCTGGAGCTGCGCTGGGCCTCACCCAGCAGCCCTTCCCACCCGGGACACCCTGCCGCCCGCAGAAGCGGTGCCGAAGCCTCCCCTGTCAGTGTCTGCAGGCCTCCTCTGACAGTCTGTCCCAGGCTTCCCTCATCCCCGACCCTGTCCCACTGGGCTAGGCCATTCGGTGCCCATCTGCCCAGCGGCCTGGAGCCCGGAGAAAAGCACCGCATCGGGTGAGCCCCTGGTCCAGCATCGTCTGGACCCACCCAGCCCCAAACACCAACGGAGTGATGGCAGGTTTGGTGGCGGCCGTGGTGGGAGGAAGTAGCCAGTCTGGGCTGGGCTGCTGGTAATGTGGACTTCATTCTAAGGACTGAGGGAGCCACAAGGGGTTCTAGAGGGACAGCACGGCATAACTGACGGTTCAGGGAATTCCCTCCTACTGCTGCGAGGAGAGCCGACTAGGAGGGGCAAGACGCAGAGCTGCGGGACCGGTGATGCCATGCTGGCCATCAGAGAGGCAGAGGACACTGGCGTGGACCAAGGTGGGGACAGCAGTGATGGAGCGAAGAGCAAAGAGCTGCAATACAGTTTGGAGGTAGAATCAAGGGGACTGGCTGATGGACGGGAAGTTGGGTGTGAGGAAAGGGGGAGGGGAGGACTGAGAAAGCCCCTGATGGGACCACCAGCAGGCTGATGTGGAGACCAAGAGAGCGGTGACATCAGCTTAGACCAGGGTCGGGGCTCAGGGGCGGGGAGGAAAGCTGCTGAGGGCAGAAACCACAGGCCCTGGGGACTGTTGGGATGCGTGGTCTGATGGGGTCGGGGTGCACGGGATGGGGCCTGGTGAGAGTGATCTTGGTGGGATTCCGCCCCCAGGACTCAGGTCTGGAGAGTCAAGGGCCTTGCCTGCCCTTTGACCTCCCTGAGCTCCAAGGTCCCTTGTGTGGAAACGGGGCAGCTGATTCTGACGTCACCAGGTAACAAATCAAGCCCCCAGCACACAGCAGGTGCTCGGGGAGTAAGGGGGACAGTGAGCTGGGGACAGTTGACTCTTACCCAGCGGTGGTCCGTGGGTTATCAGGATGTCTACGCCTTCGGGAATGAGGTTCCATTTCTCGAGCAGCGCTTGGCCTCGCGGGAGGTTAAAACCCCATCCATAGAACCAGGGCTGCCTGTGGGGGAAGAGCAGTGGGTTCAGAGAGGGCCACCAAGAGGGCGGGGCCGTGACGGGGCAGGAGGAGCAGGCCACAGAGCCGAGCGGCCACCAGGACCAGCCTGATACCCAGAAACTCAAATGCAAGGAAAGGTGGGGATTTGCCTGGACTCAGCCTGATACTGACCAGCCTTTTTCCTCTTGCTTAACTGTAATTTCTTTTGTCTGTGATGAACAAGTTTTATTTATGTAATTTTTTTAAATGAAAGTAAAAAAAAAATCAACGTCTGCCAAAGACCTCTCTTGCTCCAAACCCTTCTAAGGAAATCCAGACAAGGACATTCTCACCTGTCCCCCGCCATGGGAAGATGCTCCTCCATCCTCCGTCCCACAGTGGGGGCAGGTGGAGCCCCAGCCAGGAGACAGTGGGTCCCAGGTGGAGGATGCTCATTCCTGCTTCCTCCCAGAGCTCCCAGCAGGGGCTCCACGGGCTGAGTCCACCCTCAGCATTAAGGTCAGGGCTGGGTGGACCTGGGCCAGTTAACAGAATCCCAACCTGTTGCCTGACCCAGACCTAGACTGATCAATGCAGGTCATTCCCCTCGACTGGCTGAACAGTGAGCATGTGGCCTAGATCCTTCTAGTTGGAGGGAATTCAACTGTTTCTTTCAATGATGAGAGAGAAGAATGCTGTCATCCCTGCATATAAACCAGTGAGCTTCTTGCCTTGGGAGCTGTCAGCACCTATTAAATTGTCCCAAAGGGAGATGTGGAGCATGTGGAGAGGAGCAGCTGGATCAAACCATACCAGACACCCACCGCACCCCTGCACTTCTCAGTTAGATGGGCCGAGAGAAAGCCACCTGAACTGGGTTTTCATTTGCAACTAAGTATCAACTAAGAATCATCCCTCAGGCCTCAGTCGTTGTAAGAGCCGCTCGTTCACACAGCACTTCAGCATTTGCAAAGTCTCCATCATCACCA